AATGAGGAATAAGCTAAAAGGCTTAAATGATAAACCTTTATTTTAAAAGAAAAATATTTATTGACTATCTCCTGAGATAAAAGAATTTTTTTGCCTGTGGCGAGCGTAGGAGCCAGTACAATAGACACACGTGTGAACAAGGAAGCAACACCAGTGACCGTACAGTGTACCTGTGCGTGATGCGGGGACACAGGTGGGAGAAACCACCTGCTTCGGGTAGCTGAGGAGACCTTCACAGAGGGGATTCCAGATGAACTGGGTCTTGAAGGATTGACAGGCATTCTCCCAGCAGGCAGGTCCGGCATCTGAAGTGGGCAGAACTGCATGTTTGATGACATAAATAGATCGGAGAGAGCAGGGCACACGTGCAGAGCACTCAGAAAGTGGGTGACCTGGGGAGCGGAGGAAAGGTGGTGAGGACCAGATGACGAAGAATCGTGTGCAGTGCTGAGAAGTTGAAACCTTATCCCAGAAGATGGGATGCTATGATGAAATGTGGAGGAGAGGGGCTGGAGGGAGGGGACCAGTGAGCAGCTATGGGACTTGTCTAAGCCAAAGCACAACTAGCACAATACAAAGGAAGAGAGTAAAGATAGGCAGTAACGAGGAATACAGTGAAATTAAAATTGACAGGGCCCTGGGCATGAGGTGGACAATAGTGTTGTTAGCTCGTGTTGGAAGTGCAGGAAGAGGAGCACGCCTTTGGCAGGGAAAGAACTTACATTCAGTGTCAGCTGTGGTGAATGTGATTTGGGACATCGTTGGAGGCGTAGGCCTGGAACTCCGAGATCTGGGCTGTGGGTATGTGCATCTGGAAGTTGTTGACTTCAAGGTAGAATTTTATTGTAGTCATTAAAGTGAACAAGACTCTCCAGGGAGCACATGTAGACTGGGTCCAGGTCAAAAGACGGAACCTTGGAGAAGACCAGTAGTTACAGCAGGAAAACCATGAAAGAATGGCATGAGGAATGTGCTCCGCAGTATCAGATGCTGCCTGGAAGCCCAGGAAGAGGAGACTGGCAAGTGTCCTTCATAACCTGTAAAATGGTGGGGACAAAAGTAAGACCTCAGTGAGTTAAATGAGTAGAGGAAAACTGAGACATTTAAGATCCAGGGGACATAAGCCCGTTAACTAAGGGGAAAGAAAACTTGAAGATGTGAGATCAAGTAAAGGTAGATTAGATGCAGATGTAGATGGTTTTTACAAAACCATGTTGTTTTCAAAGAAAGAGGAGTCAGCCGAGGTCACGTGCTTAGTGAGGGGGCAAGAATGAAGGAAATCTTGAGAATGGGAAAGGAAACTGGATAAGAAGTGAAAAGCCTCTTGAGTAGGGTTGTGAGGGTCCAGCTGAAATGGCAAACCATAGATGCTGATAGAGTTTTTCTCTCCCACACACTTTTAGCCCACATGTAGATAGAAAAATGAGGCGTTCAGATGGTTTGAGCTCGGCATGCAATACGGAAGTGTGAATGGAACTGTTAACTTTGATTACTTATTATCTGTGTTGGTCTATTCCTAAAGAACAGTGTTGAAGTTAGGAAAACTGAGTCTTGTGATTCCAAAAATAAAACTCCCCGCTTTCCAGGATTTTGTTTCTCCCTTGCAATACTGACAGCCTGGCTGAGGGACCTGGAGGAGACCCAGGAAGTAGCTTTCTGTTCGAGATGTGCGATAAGGAGCACAGGTGGATGGACTGGGGGCCGAAACACTGCCTGTGAGCCTCGGAAACACGGGGCAGTGTCATAAACACCCAAAGGTCTTCACGGCGTAGGCAGTCACGAGGCCCTGGTCACTTTTAGAGTGGCTGCCATGTGGAACAGCGATGCAGATTGTATAAGACACGTCACTGTGTTACAGAGAAGTGTGGATTTGTGGGCACCATTTTGCCAGGATTTGGGAATGGTATTTTAAAAGGATTCTGGGAAGACATTTTTTATAGGCATCAAAATTTTAATTCCAAAGTAAATAGGTGGAATAACTTGGCCTGTGAACACAGCCGTTTTACTCGTTTCTCAGTCTAGCACTGTCGGGGCTTAGCAAGCTCAAATAATTCCTTTTTTTTTTAAGCAGATTACAGAAATAGAACCAGTGGGGCGTTTAGACTCCAGTACGCAGGACAGGCTCACAGCCCTGAAAGCAGTGACAAACTTTGGTGCTGCAGTGGAAGTTTTTGACTCTGAAGGTGAGTGTCTCCAGAGGGTTTGATGGAAACACTTCACGACACAGGCAGTCAGGATTTAATGTCACCTTAGTACAGGTTCACAGACCCATTCACCACAGGAAAGTCTTGGCTGGCCGTGCTTCAGTGGGCAGGAGAGCATGTCTCTGGTTTTTCATTTGAGGGGGGATAGTCTTATGAGGAGAGAAGGCTAACCAACAGCAGAACCCCAGAGCAGAGGACTCAGTTTACTGCACACGGTCAGACACAAGGAGGAATGAGGAAGCAAACCTAACAGATAGACTAGTCTTGATTTCCAGGCCTGCATATTTTAAGCAACTTCTATACCTTGATTTCATCTTCTCTCTCTATACTTTGTCTAAAATTTATTAGATATTGTAACTTCCCATGGATTACAGGAAGCCTTTAAATTACCAGGGTTGTACCCAAATATAGTAGGAGAGGCAGAGAATACAAAAATGCCAGGGACAAGAGCATGGGCGTCACATCGTAAGGATCACGTTCTCTTGGTATGGGCTTATATCATGAGTGAAATAAAACGTGAGAGTAAAAATGGAAAATAAAAGAGATCAAACACAAGTGTGTCCATGTTTTCTTTAGTGTGTTATTTTTCTTACCACACAGAAGCTGAAGTGTTCCAGAAGAAACTTGATGAGACCACCAGATTGCTCAGGGAGCTCCAAGAAGCCCAGAATGAGCGTCTGAGCACCAGACCCCCTCCCAACACGATCTGTCTCTTGGGTCCCTCGTACAGAGAAATGCATCTCGGTATGTTCACCTCCGGCAAGATGAGAGTTGGGCTGATTTGAGTATCGACACCACTATAAAGGAACGCTGAAGTGAACACCACGGACAGTTGATTTTTTGCATTTATCTATTGTTCTGATTTTTTTTTAATTATCTAAAGGAACATTTCAATGCCTAGAACTGTTTTTATTTTGATTTTTTTCTTCCTAGCTGAACAAGTGACCAATAATCTTAAAGAACTTGCACAGCAAGTAACTCCAGGTGATATTGTAAGCATGTATGGAGTTCGGAAAGCAATGGGGATTTCCATCCCCTCCCCCGCCGTGGAAGACAACTTGGTCGATTTAACAGAAGGTATGTGCCCCGGGTCTCTGGGAGAGCACAAGCCTGTTGTGAGTGAGGGAACATCAGTCCTCTCCCTTCGAGCAGCCTTTGAAAGCTTCTGTGTCTGTGTTGTGAATGTAGAAACTACTTTTAGTTTTCTTCCCGTTTTATCTAAAGAATTAATAAAGATTTCACACATTTGCAAAAAAACTACAGTGATAACCTAATAATGCACTTTAGCCTTGACCCTTGCCGTGATAGAGGGCTGTCGGCATTTCTTATTCTGGATGTTACCTTTACCTTCACATCCTTTCTTAATTTAAAGGAAAAAACTGATGAAGGAAATGGTATTTTTTTCTTTCAGATTTTGAAGAACCTAAAAAGATGGATGCTGCTGAGTGTGGACCTGATGGGATTTGAAAGGAACCGGTATTTGATTATATATTATGTATATATTTTTCATTCTTAACTTGGAAATGCTTTTCAGAAGATATAAAATATTTGTAAATTGTGTTTTTAATTAAACTTTGGAACGATTTTAATGTTCCAGAGACTGGGCTTCTATTCGGTAATAAAGCTGAGCCTGCGACCGCGCGCCGTCTCGTGTCTCAGCTGAGCTACCCCTCAGCCTTTCAGGACCAGCCGTTAAAAGAAACACGTCCCCCAGATAATTGACTTACCTCATTTTTCCACATTTGCCACACTCCTAGTTAAATTATAACCAACTTGTTCCTAACTGACCAGATTTCATCTTGATGATTTATTCAAAAAGTGGCCTTGTGAGGACAGCATATCACCTTGCCCTTTGCCATACTGAGCAGAAAGCCGGAGTGGACCTGGGCAGAGTTCTTTCAGAACAGTGATGACACTGCTTCCTTCCTTCACAGACAGGGCTAAAACGAAGAAACTTTTTAAAAAATCCCCATCCAGTGAGATTTTTCATTGTTATACCATGAAAACAAATACACTTCATTTAGAGTTTACTGTGTGTCCCCTACATACCTGCTGGGGGACAATGTCCTTATGGAGAAGGATTAGGTGATGAGGTGTCCCCCTCCCCCCCCCCGGAAGAAAAGCATACCAGGGGCTTCACAGCACTGACTTGTCTGGTGTTCCTTTTCGGTTTATTTTTTCCATTTTTGAGAGAGTTATTTGGAACTGTAATAAAAGGATGAGCCAAATAAGATAACAGACTAAATCATCCTTGATACATAAGGGAAGCACCGAGCTTAAAGGGACATGTGCGTTTCTATTTACTGTCTCTCACGGGCCACCTGTGCCTCAGCCATGCGCCCTGAACCCTACTCATGTCCTGCTGTCTGTGAAACAAAGGTCCGGTGCCGAGCAGTTGAATTATTTGAGTAGGAGACCATGAGACCTAATCCTCTTCTGTGACCAGGCCCCACACTGTAGCCTAGTTCACTGAACACATTCGGTAAAACACCCAGGCAGGAAGCCATTTCCTTTTTATAATCTTGACTTTGAAAACTAACATGTAGCAAGAACAAGCAGGGTGAAAGACAATTAATTGATTCTCTCAAGAGAGTTAAAGATGACCTAATCTTTTAAAAACCTACTTAAAATCGTATGCCAAAAGAACTAAAACATCACTTCAGATGTGTATTTTTCAAGAGTTTTTAGAGTTTAATTTCTCAAATACAATTCAGGCAGTAATCAGTTCTTAAACTGTAGATCTACTCAGCTAAGTTCCTGAAGACCACGAAAACAATGCAAAACACTTGAGGACACTCAGGTTTTCCAGATTGCTCATTTAATGTATGAAAATCTGAACAAAGTAGAAACACTGGCACTTTATAAAAATGAAATACATTTTGAAACAAACGTTACAGCTGTATAAATATTCAGTATACAGAATAACCGCTAGGTGTTTGCATGCACCTTCTCAAAGCATATTTCTGTACATTCGCCTGTTATATACACAGTGCACACAGGGTGTTAATGATGATCTTTTCTGTGAGGAAAGTTTCCTAATAAGTGAACCAGAAAACTTCTGATTTTCACGAGAGTCAGTGAGGCTGCCTGCATAGAGACTTTGAGCAAGTCCTCGGCCCATAGAGAAGGTCAGTGTTAGAAAAGGCACGTGTCCTTTCATAAAACAAAACGACACCAATGAGGAACTGGCTTGGTAGTCGGAGAACAGATTTATAAAAATAACTGCAGTGATTTGTATGGTCAGTTAGACACCATGATCTGAACATCAAAATGAAAAACTTACAGAGTATTCTTTTCTGAGCACAGTGCTTCAATTGGAAATAAAGAAAAATACTTGAGTGGTAACCAGTTTTTTAAACTCCCAATTGGGATTTCTGCTGCTGGCGAGCTTGACTGCCGCACAGCCCCGCAGAGAGGCCCCGCACGCTGATGCGCGACCAGCGGCAGAGCCTCTGGCTCCCAGGAGAGCCCCGCGGAGCCGCCCTGGTCCCACGGCTTCTGAGAGGACGTTTCCCTTGCCAGCTTTTTGACATGAAGTTCCTTTATACAGCAGGTTCTTACAATTTACTCATACCTACTCCAGTTACGCGCAGCGCCTCAAAGCTGCCACCAGCCCACCCAGCACCTGTGCACATTAGAAGCAGCCCCCTTCTCGGGCTCATAAGCCCTGCAGGACACGGCCCCCGCAGACAGCAGGTTCAGTGTCAGCCCCTCCCCGCCCCTGGCTGCACACAACTACTCTGCAGCTAGGGTGGCGCCTCGTCCCGGACCCCCCCATCCCAGGCAGACCTGGCTGCTTAGTCACCTGTCTCAGCCCTGTCTGATCTTTTGAAGTCTCCTGTCTGCAAGACTTTGAGTATAATTTCAGGGGTTCACGGATGACGTCTAGCTAAGAAGCCCTGTCAGATAGTGAAATCAGCTGTCTCAGCAATCCTGGGGTGCTCTGGGCATGAAGCAGTGAAGTCAGTTCAGAAGGAATGGCACTGTCTGTCTCACCTTGAAACAGGTTGCCCTCTCTGACTGAGGTGAAGCACTGTAAGACACCATCTCCCAGACCTGGCCCTGTGCACCTGCCTTCGTCCGTGCAGTTCCGAACCAGAACACAGCACCTGTGACAGGCTGGCTTCCCGGGACGGGAACCGTTACACGTGTGTATGCTGAGTAGCTCCTAGTTTTGAAGGGCTTCAGACTTAGCTATGAGGACAAAAGAAAAGGGAAGACGTACTACAGCTTGTCCAAATTCTCTCTACACAGACTCCAGTCCTTTCCGACATCGAGACTAAGACATAGCTGAAGACTGCAGGGGAGCACTCAAAACCACCTGGGCAGGCAGGGAGGGGCTCGGAGGCTGTGCCTTCTTTCCTAGGCTCTTCACTTTCTGAGCCTAGCCTCAGAATGCTGGCATCAGGGCTGTATGATTCCAAGCCAAGGCTACGCGCCTCTTGCCACGAGCCACATTCCTCAGCACTCCGTCCCCACAGCTGGGCTAATCCCATAAGCTCACACTGGACAGCAGTCCTACTTATGTGTCAGTGGTTAAAAAAGCAAAGAATACACTGAAGGGAAGATATTTTGTCTAGCATCTAAGAAGTCACTAAAAAGGATAAAACCTCCTAACAATGTATCCATTTAAAACAAACACATGCCAGAGATGACAAGAAATAACACGTGTCCATTGTGGTTTTTCTCCTTACTGTTGGAAACCATTTATAGGTTTAAACCACCCTTTTCAGTTCTTTTTCCAAGAATGCCTGTATAGAAATGCAGAATCCTGTAGTTGGCCCACTGGGAGAAGGGAGTCCCCGACCCATCCGGGACAGCTTGTCTCGGTCTTGTACCCTGGTGTAGCTCCCAGGCCATGAGGGGGTGTGTGTTCGAGTCAGGCCCTCAGAGCTTCTCCACAGCACCTAGGGGACTAAGGATCTAAAACTCACAAACAAGCCTTTTCCTGCTGTGCTGCAGGCTGCGTTGCAGACTCCGACAGCCCAGAGGGTCCGCTGCCTGTGCATGATAAGGCGCAGTGGTCGCCTCAAGCTGGGGTCTGGCGCACATTCCAAGAAATCCTCTAGTGCCAGTCCAAGGAAGCCGTGCGCGGCTGTCAGGGTGCTGGTGGCCAAACCCTTGGAATGCCTCTGTGACTGGTGTAGGTCCGAGTCTTCCCCTCGCCTTGCTTCAGGGAAGGAAGTTGGCTTCCAGCATGTTCTGCACCCACCGAAAGCCTTCAGTTGGGCCCCAGCCCTTGAAACTTGGCAGTGTCTGTACAGACAAAGTAAGTCCTCAGCTCGCCTTTGCCTTTGACGTTGATCAGTCCACGGCATTCACAAGAATAACCTAGTCCCTGGAGGATGGCACTTGTCTCTTCGGTAACCTGAAAAGGAAAAGAAACCCAAGTCTTGAGAAGCAAGAGGAAAACCTGCTGTGGGCAGGACAGATGGAAACCAGCCAGCAGGCAGCACGCAGCACTCATATCTGGCTTCCCTCAAGAACTTCACGGTAGCATCACGTGGCTGACGGACGCCCAGGTCCCCGCACTTCTGGGGAGTTCTTTCCCCTTCGGTCATGGGTCTCCCCAGAGGGGCTCGTACCTGGATTTTCCCAAGTTCCCCAGTGCTCTCCATTCGGCTGGCAACGTTAACCGTGTTTCCCCAGATGTCATACTGAGGTTTTCGCGCCCCGATCACTCCAGCAATCACAGGCCCGTGGTTTATGCCTGAAGATGACATTTGCAGTGGGTAGTTCAGAGAGGCAAAGCCTCTGGCAACTGCCCTTCAGGGAGGCCACGGAGCACTGACAGCACAGCTGGAAGGAAGCTGCACATCTGTGCCGGAGACCAGACTCGGCTGTGCGGAAGGCACTCCCTGGGAGTCCTGGCCCAGCCTTGGCCTTGCTCAAGATGTCTGGGTCTGAGGATACTCTAGTACCTGCTAATCTCCTCCTAACAAAGAAGAATTTGCTCCCTGAGCACGACCCTCTCAGCTAACAGAGACCAGTGAGGTTAATAACTTTGCTTTGTTCTCAGTGTATTTTAAGGTCACCTGTTCACAGCCAGTGATTTGTGATTCTTCATTTTCTGTAGTGATATATTCCTTAAAAGTTTCAAAAGTAACTTTATAAATACTGTACAAAGAAAGAGTAATTACTGAATCCCTGGGGTTGTGAGACAAAAGGGATTGCTAAAGCTTTTCCTAGCAGATGGTACGGTCTGCTGGACAGACCCGGGTGGGTTTGCCAGGAGGCAGGGGCTGCAGCTCGCCCACCCGGAGCCCGGCCTGGCCCACCTCCCCGGAGCCTCACCGACTCGGAGGCGGAAGGAGTTGAAGGAGTGCCTGTTGATGCCGTCCAGCTTGCTCATCAGGGCGATGCTGAACTCCACCATGATGCCAATGTGGGCATGCTGGCGCTCCAGGTCCTGCGGGACAGAGCCCTGCATGTGGGCCGCGGGCACCCTCCCTCCTCCTACCTCGAGAGCACCGGGCCAGCCAGCACTGCGCACCAGCATGGGCGTGGAGCCCACAGGGAGGGCTCCTCCAGAGGGCCCAGGACCTGCCCCCCTCCGGGGGAGGGGCCGTCTGCCCCCAAACACCCCCCTCAGGCGGAGCCGGGAGCTCCTTTGCCCTTGCCTCTCACGGGGCAGGGCTGGGGACTGACTGTTGGATTTCCCCTCATGTGGGTCTGGGACATGAGGCCACCAGAGTCGCTGAGTACCTGGTTGTCGTGCCCTGAGGGGACACTGAGCCCTGCAGCTGCCATGTACGTGCTGCCGATGGTCTTGATCTTCTCCACACCACTGAACTTGGGCTTTAGCAGGAGCTGCAGGACAAGGAAGCAGGGCCATCCGACACGGCCGCAGCCCAGGCCGCCCAGATTCCGAGGAGGGGGTGGGGTTCCCACGCCCCCACTTCTAACACAGAGACTTCTCACACCTAAGGACCAGTGGGGACACGGCCCCTGGGTTCTCTGCCTGCCCCTCCCGCTGTCAGTCTTCCTCGACATTCCCATCTGGTCCCCCCTCTCTGAGGAGCAAACTCAGCCAACAGTATCTACACAGGAACATCGATTCTCCGCAGCTCAGAGCTCAGCCAAAACTGCCTGACTCTCAAAGGGTGTCAGCATCAGCCCAGCTGGAAGTCAGGCTGTTCCACAAGGACCTAATCTTAGCAAGTCGCCCCCACAGAGAAAATAACAAAATAAATCCTCACTGAATAAAACAAAGAAAAAGGCAGATTTGTACCCTTTATAATTTGTGTACTGTCCGTTCCCCCGAGGGAACCGCAGTCGGGGCTTAGGATGCCCCTGCCTCCCGGCGCCGCCCCCTGCTGGGCCGGGTCACAGGCCATACCTCGTCAAAGTCAGCGACAATCTCGTTCAGCAGGCGCAGACACTCCAGGCCTTCCTTGTTGACGTCACACTCAGTGTAGAACACTTTGAAGTCTGGCACGGACGCAAACATGACACAGACGCAGTCGTACGACTGATGGTACCAGTCCTGGATGGGGGCAGGAAGACATGGGGACCAGCCCTCGTGCTGCAGGAGCGGATGTTCCTCAGCTGTCCGCTGAGCTCTCGAGAGGGCTGGGCCAGCGCGCCTCAGCCTGCCGGTCCCTGAGCCGCGGCCGCGGACTGTCGGGAGTGGGAGAGTCTGACTGGCCGGGGCGGAGCAGGCTCAGGTTGGTTTGGCTCTAAGTGCCTGGGTCTGTCCCGCAGGGGTTGGGAACAAGCAGGAGACCTGGGTTCTATACCCACTGGGCCTCAGTTTCCTTCCCTGTAACTCTCACTGCGACACAGAGTTGGTGGAAACACATCTTCATCAACCCAGACGGTCCAGATTACAGATGCCTGGTCTGGTCCTCACAACGGTGCTGCTAGCTAGGTACTGTCAGCCCCGTTTTACAGATGCAGAAATCAAGGCCCAGGGAAGTGAGATACCTCGTCCGTGGCCACACCCAGACCCAGGCCTCCGACGCCGAAGCCTGTGTCCTTCCAGCTGACAGCACCCGCTGTTTCCTGGGCGCAGCAGGAGCCCCAGACCCTCGAGCGCACTGAGCAAGCACCTGCAGCTCCCGACCCCAGCCAGACTGCACTGTGTCCCACCCAGGAACGAGCCCTTCGTCGCCCCACACCTCGTTTAACTTGTCACCAATGAAGTGGGCGGCCACGTGGGCTGGCAGCACATTCTCCAGAAGCAGGCGGTTCACGTTCTCCATGGTTTCAAACTCCTCGTGCTCCTTCTTGAACTTCTTCTTCCACAAACAATCCAAGCGGCAGTAATAGTCAATCTGCAACAGCGGGACGTCAGTGTGGCGGCCAGTGAGCGAGGGCAGAACATGCACCAAGTGGCTGGCGGGCATGCCTGTAGCCCTGGGGGCCACTGAGCCAGCTCGTCAGCGCTCCCACCCTGCACCCTGGCGACTGTCTCCCGCCCCACAGCCGCCTCCCCGTGCAATCCCAGTCAGTGATTCACGGTTCGCAAGTGAGCCACGAGACTGCCTGTCCCCCGTGTCCTGAAGGGAGGGGATGCAGGGACAGAAGGACACTGAGTGAGGACCCTGACTGGGGCCCCCTGGCAGCTCCCCTCCAGGACGGCTGCTGGCCCCTGCGCCGCTGCACATGTGCGCGCCCCTGGGAGGAGCGCGTGTGCGGGGCTCCCGCCTCACCTGTCGGGACAGCAAGGCGAGGGTGACGTAAAACAGAACCAGGGCGAAGTTGATCGTCGTCTGCAGGTCCCTCCACGAGCAGGAAGGGGAGCTGCCGGGCACGGAGGGGAAAGGCGGCCGTCGTCTCCGGTCCCGTCCAGCCCCCCGAACGCGGGAGGCGGCGTGGGGCCCACACCCTCAGGGAAGAGGGGGCCGGACCGAGGACACCGCCGCCCGAGCCCACGTTCTCACGGCGGAGACCGGGAACGAGACGGCTGCAGGCTGCAAAGAAGAGGGTCCGGGGCAGAGGCGGACTGGGCGAGCAGGGTGGCCCTGCTTAGGTGACATCGCGCTCACACCTGGACAACAAGGAATGGCCACGGCGGAAGGAGCAAGGGCACCCGAGGCAGGCGAGGAGCTGCGGGAAGGGGCCGCGAGCCCCTGGGGGAGTCGGCGCGCAGGCTGGCAGGAGTCTGCAGGGGCAGGTTTTACTCTGGGTCCCCAAAGTCCAGCCTTTTAGTTCAAGGGGAGCCAGCCCCCGCCGCGACCCAGAGCCCCCAGAATTACGCACACATCGGCCCTTCCCTTGCCACAGGTGTCACCCACCTGTCCAGGGACGGACCAGACAGCTGTGGAGATCCAGGACACGGCTCAAAGCAGGGACCTGGTTAGAGCCGAAGCCCCCTCCCCGACCCCCAGCCTGGCCTAGAGCCAGGATAACCCAGGTGGCCTCCATGGGACCAGGAACGTCCCCTAGAGGACCTGCAAACGAGCCACCCTCCCTAGCTCTCAGCACTGCGGACTGCGGACTGGGCCCATCACTTCCCTTCGAATGCCACGAACGCAAACACCTGAGTTTGAAAGGACCTCGAAATAAAACAAAAGGTGCCGCCATGGGCCACAGTCGAGACAGGCAGAGGGACTGGGGTCCCGGCAGTGAGTGCTCTGGGCCTCACCTGAGGGTGCTGTTGGTCTTGGTGACGTTGCCCAGGCTGTGGCCACAGCAGCCCCACTGCCAGCATGGGGCGATGTTGAGAAGCACCAGGTAGGCCACCAAGGCCACTGTCAAAAGCACGACCTTCAGCTCCAGGCTCATCCGCAGGAAAACAGAGCAAGCCACAAAGGCCAGGATGCAGCTGCAGGTGTAATACTGGGAGAGGGCATGTGGGTCACCAAGAGGCCCCTCCTGGACCAGTGGTCACCAGATGGAGGGCCGCCGTTAGCACTGACGCACGGAGCCCCTTCCCCCTTGGGGAACTCCATGAGGGGCCATGTGTCTTCAGCATCGCTCTCTTGCCTTGCTGACCGCCCTTCTTAACAAAGAGCAGCCAGCAGAACCTAAAGCTTTCTCAAAAGTGTTGCGTGTTTACTTCCATGTATGGCAAGTGAACTCATTCAAAGGAAAAAAGGTAGTAACTGAAACTGCAGGTGGTGTGTGGACATGACAAAGGTCAGGGCAGTGGTATGCACACACCTGAACAGCCCCCTGCCTCAAGTCCTGCCATGAGCTTGCCCTTCCCAGAGTGCATCTCTGCCCACGTTACTCTCCTGCTCAAGATCATGCTGTGGCTCCTGATTGCCCCCAGAGTGAAGATCAAGCTCTTCATCCTAGCACTCAGGCACCACCCTGATCTGGATCAAATCTACCTCTGGCTTCATCTCAAAATTCTCCCCCACTCCCTCCCCATGACACAACCACCTAAAACCCTGCATTCTCTACATGCCTAGTGAGGACGAGCAGCACCAAGGGGCCAGGCCAGGCCAGGCCACACTCACCAGGAGGAGCTCGCACAGGGCCTTCTCCCTGCTGCTCACAGACCTCAGGTTTGTCTCATTGCCAGCAGGCAGCTCCATGGCTGGGAACGGAGTCAGCGGCTATGGAGACAGGTATCTGTGAGAGGTGGGCCAGGGCCGAGCGGGGTGGGGGACTCGGGGGCCGGAAGGGCTGGGCCGCGGGCTCTGTGAGCATCGCAGGCGTCCCCTGCCAGGCCCAGCTCTGAGCACGGCCCAGAGCCGCCGCGCCCCGGCTTCTCACAGCAGCCGTCCGCTCCATGGCGGGGCGTGGGCAGGCGCGGGGGAGAGAAGGGTGTAAAATGAAGAGCTGCGGACACCACGCCCAGAGCATCAGAGGCTGAGTCGGGTGGGTGGGGGAGAAGCTGCTGTCAGCGTTTTCAAGGAGCCCCTTGTCCCCAGGTGACGCTGAGGGAGGTGGTCACAGAGTCTCGAGTGTCGGGGACATGGAGGTGGGGAGACCCTGGCTCTAGGTGTTGGAGCTGGCAGGACTGCCTGCAGCGGCGAGCATGTGAACACGGCCCAAGAAGCAGGAGCTCAAGTGTGCTCCCAGCCTGTGCCCAGGGCGACGCAGCCCTAGTGTGGAAACTGAGTCTCAGAGAAGTGAGATGCGGCTCCCTAGGGGGCCGAGAAGGAGGAGGAGGACGGCAAGGACGCTGTGGTGGTTCAAGACGTCTCGTCCTTGTGGGGCGGGCCACGTAAGCTCTTGGGGCCCCGCGTCCTGATTTGAAGGAGGTAAGAAGCTCTGAGCGTCCGTGGGACCCACAGCGCCACCCACAGGGCCCTGGACAGGGTGACACCAGATGCAGCTGTTAGGCAACAAGACAGTAGGATTCTAGGATCTGGAGGTTCCCAGGGTCAAGGACTGGTGCTCCACCCAGGAAACACACCTGGGCGAGAGGACTCGCTGCCAGGGCCCACCTCCCACCCCCGGAACCTACCAGGTTGACGATGGCAATGGTGAGCAGGCTGCCGATGGTCAGCACAGCCAGGGACAGCCGCAGCAGGGGATGCGTCTCCACCCTCTCAGAGATGGCCCGGAGTGTCCCCCAGGCTGGGCAGCACCTCTGTGGAGTCACGGGGTCAAGTCACCCAGCGCCAGCACTCAGACAAGGAAGGAGAGCCTGCCTGAGGCCTTGCCCGGGGGCCTGCGGGCCAAGAGCCCAGCAGACGGGAGAGCTCCTCTAGGGAGAGTCGCGGGCACACTGTGCCCTGTGCCCAGCCCAGAGCTCAGCACCCATGAGGTGTGCAGACACAAGGGACATTATCACTCTCAGGTCCTGGACAGCCATGGCCCCTTGGGGGCCACCAGCAGGCCTGGGAAAGCAGAATTCTTAGGAGAAGGTCCAGAGCGCTGCAGCAGGAGGGGTAGGGCTTGGCAGCACAGGCACAAGGGAGGGCTCCGGGGGAGGGGCGGGGTGGCCAGCACCACCACAGCCCTACACCAAGCAGGGCCCGGCCAGGCGGGCCAGGGGCTGCCCCACTCACCAAGATCTCGTCAGCAAAGCACAGGCCCAGCACCAACCCCAGCACGCAGGCCACCAGCCCGAAGGACACGCCCAGAGCTGCCATCCTGGAGAGGAGGAAGGAGCCCAAGTTCGGAGGCTCACCGGCCCAGGGCCAGCAATAGGCCTGCCCCGCCCCCAGCACCCACTTCTTGGGCTCATGGGCACCTCCGCCCTCTCCCAAACTGCTCTTCTGCCCTCAGCAAAGCGGATCTTTGAAAACCGTGGCCCAGCTGCCCTACTAACAACACGCGAGGCCTGGCCACAACATGAAGACCGTGATTAACAGCATAGCCCCCTTTCGGGGCCACATGTTTAAGAAATGAGCGATCCCGGAGCCTTTAGGCTCACGTCTGGCACACAGGTACCCTAGGAAAGTGCTCCCCCTTTTGCCTTTCTTAAGCACATCCTAAACCACGATGCTAGTGGGCCCTCTGGCCTAACCGCCCTTCCCGAAGGCACCAAGTGGCTGAGCTTCCTCTGTCCCTGTGACCTCACACCCCTGTCCCTGCCCCCCAGTAGGGCCCTTGAGGCAGAAGCACAAGTCTCAGCAGCTCCTGATGTCCTGGCCACGTGCCCTGGGTACGGCACAAAGCCCGCTGAGCCTGTATTTCCCATCTAAGAGGGAGATGATGGCAGCTGCAGCTTGAGGAGCCCGCCCTTCCAGGATCCCAGACGCCTCCAGCAAGGGTCATAAACCGAACTGCCTACAGGGCCACACAGGTAACAGGTGACTTCGGAGGTGAGAGGCCTGTGGGAGTGGGAAGCCTGCAGCTTGAGAGAGCAAGCACGTTCAACTAAAACAAAATATAAGCGCTGCTGACTCCACGTGTGGGGGCCACAGCCCCGGGACTCTGAGGTCTGAAGGTACTAAGCTCTAGCAGCCGGCCCCTTCCTGCTGGGCACACAGCTCCTTGCAGGTTTTCTGGTGGATCCTGCAAGGTCAGCACCCCTCCCAGCCTGACCCCAGTGGGCTTGACCATCCTGCCCACCCCCTGGCTGACCTGGGCATCAGCAGGACATGGACGAGCAGGATGCAGACGAAGACGAGACTGGCACAGGCAAAGTAGTGACGGGCCCGGGGGATGGGCGCCAGGCGGTACTGGGGGCAACGGAGACTGTGAGAGGGTGGCTGAGGCTCCCTGCAGGGCACTCACTCCGACCCTTTCTCGGGCCCCACCCCAGCTCCAGTTAACCACCATGAAAACCACTTGCACCCCCAAGCTCCAGGTGAGGCACTCCGTCATTGTCCTCATGAGCTGTCCTTTAATGTTTAGAGGAAAGACCCTGCCCCGCCCCCCCACCCCCCGCCCAGGTCTCCAGCTTCATTTCCCAGGTCCCTGGAAAGCTCGTGGCCCCAATCTGAGGATGGAACCGACTCTGAGCTCTGCGGCTACTGAGCCTGGGGCTGCCAGTGGGGATGTCCTGACTCCACCCCGAGGGGCACGGCCGGCAGCCTGTGCTGCCCACACCTCCACACCAGGCACCCTCAGGGTCGTGCCCACGAGGGCTCTGCTGCAGAGGAGGAACCAAGGCTCTGAGAGCCTGCAGCCGCCGGCGACCACACCTGCTCCAGACCCCGAGCTCTCCCTGGGGAGCCCCAACTAGAGGAGGGTGCCCCCCAACCAGAGGAGGGCACCCCCCAACCCTGGAGACTGAGGCGGGAGAGAGGTCCCAGCACCAGCACCCCGTGGGCTGGGCCACCCTCTTGGACAAGCCACACCGAGGCCCAGATGGGCTTGGAAACCTCAGACCCTGTGTGACAGACGACTGTGGAGCCATAAATGGCGTCGTGCGCCTGGAGCGCTGTAGGACTCAGTAGGTGCTCATTAAATAGACAAAAGGTCACTAGTGGCACAAAAAGCATGTTGAGGCGGCAGCCAGACTGGAGGTCCATCAGGTCCCCTCAACGCTGGCACCCCGTGCAGGGCTTTTTCCTGACTGCGAGGCCAATGCTGTCAGCCTGGGCGGGCCTGCCCCGGCAGCTGAGGCTCCCCGATGGGGCCGCCAGGTACAGGGGAGGCCAGCAGCAAGACAGGCCACGAGAGCCACACTGAGCCCCCACCCAATGGCCAGCTGGTGTGATTCCCTGCAACCCTCCTGGAACAGATCTGGAGCTCAGCTGCCCACAGCCTGTGCCCCCATCCCACCGCAGGCCCTGGAGCCCCTCTTCTTGCAGCCGCGGTCCTCACCTCTCGCTCGGAGCCCTTCTCCTGGAAGATGAACCCGCAGGCATGGAAGTCGTCGGACGTGGAGCAGCAGGGCCTGGGGGCGGCAGACACAGGCAGTGAGATGCGGGGCCTGGGGAGCCGGAGACGGGGCCCCACCTTCCGGAGGAGAGGGGAGTGGAGGGCAACTTGAGAGGGCGAACGGAGGCGGGGGCCCACCCTCGGGAGGGGAGGAGAGGCAAATAGGGGGCAGGGGCCCACCCTCAGGAGGCAGTACCAGGAGGGGAAGGAGCCGCCCAGACACAGCTGGAGCTGGGCCACCGAGTGTGAGGCACAAGACAGGCCTGGCCATATGGGGGCCCACTCGAGGGGGCAGGGATGAGCAGCGGTCTCGGAGCCTCACCTGGTGGAGCTGAGCCCTTCGATGGCTGAGAGCATCTCGTCATCGTAGGAGTCGTCCTCAGACCGCCCCTTGGGGGATGTACTTCTGGAATCAGACCCCCACAGCTGCACCACCCCAGGGGCCCACAGCTACTTGCCGAGAGGCAGGGGTGTGGACAAGACAACTCACCCAAGTGGGGTTCCCAGGTGCCTGCAGGAGGCCCCAGAGCCTCAGGCAGGACAGTGAAGACAGGCAGGTCCCACCAAGGCCCAGAGAAGGCAAGTGAAGGCCCAGCATCGATCAGCATTGCCCAACTGGCCAACAGCCCAGCAAGAGGCAGAGGGCAGACCCTCAGTACAAGGTGCCTTCCACTAAACCCATAAGGTTCCCTCACACCAACCCTGCTGATCCTGCTTCCAGGTGGTTACATGACAGGCACTCAATCATTGTGAAGTGCTGGTTCCTAGAAACACTTTGACCCAAGCCACAGCAAACTCAGCAGAGGCTGGTCAAGGCAGCCTGTCTGGAGGAGGTGACTGGGGCAGGACTTGGCCAGGAAAGCAGGCCACAGCTTATGACGGGCGGAGGTAGGGGGAGGGCGGCGGGAACGACAGAGTGCACGTACCTGTCAGGGGTCCGATGGCGCCGCAGGGGAATGGCCTGGAAGGGAAGGGAGGAGAGGGGACCATTACTCTCCAGAGTGAGGGGCCCTGAGGTCCATCACGGACTGGGTGTATTATCTCTGTGCACTCGCACACAGGGCGGGGCGTCAGGGACCATCTAAACTGCAGGCATCCTGAACCAAAGCGGAACTCGCGCTGGAGAACAAGGACAGACCCCTGGAGCATTCTCCAAACGCCTCCCTCCCCAGGACGAGGCAGGGCCGAGACAACCACCGGCGGCTCCTGAGCATGTGCCCTCCCACTGCCTCACAGGACCGTGGGGGCCCACCTTGGGCCTCCGCCCGCTGGGGACAGGAGGCTCGCTGCTGCTCACGCTCTCGCGGTGGTTGAGGTGTGCGAAGGGCCGTGCCGCCCCCCAGGACTCGAGGTAGCGGGTCATGCGCACGGACGCCCGCATCTTCAGGGCCGCATCCCCCTTGGGCTTGGGGAGGTGTTGGCTGGGCGGGGGTGGCTGCTGGCTCTGCGGGCAGACACAGACACAGCCTGTCCCATGCCCTCCCCTCTCAGCATGGGGCTGCCACCCCATCCTGCTCTCCCTGAAACACAGTGCTGCCCAGGGCACTGGCCCATCTGGCAAAAAGGGGAAATGGCCAAAAAGCTGCTGGTTCTGCATCCCCGCGGGGCCTGGCTGAAACCCAGCCCTCCTGGCTGGGCTGTCGGGGAGGCCACAGCCCAGGCCCTGTCCTTCCCAGGCAGGGAGGAAACAAGGTCACACAAGACGGTGTGCAGCCCCTAGGTCCTTCTTTGCCTTCCCAGGGAAATAGTGGGTTAGGGTCCTAAACCCTAAGGCCACACTTGCTCCGGGAGGCTCCTAGGAATCAGAAGCTGTCCTTGAGGCCTGAAGGCCCACGGCCCTCCCCGTGGAAGCGCCCTGGGGGACGGCGCCCAGGGGAGCCACAGGCAGCCTGCCCTGGCCACCCACATGTGGCCAGCACATGCTCTTCCTGTGGGAGCAGCAGGAGGAAAGGAGAGCTGGCCAGCAACCCGGAGAGACGGAGAGACAGAGACAGCCAGCCAAGGAGCCAGCCCCTCCCCCGGGCAGCAGTCCAAGCAGGTCCACTTGTGTGGCCCCCAAACCACAGCAGGGGTCCCTTATCTGCCATGTGCCCGCCATGGCCGAGCGAGGGACACAGTGGTTCAGCCAGGCCCTGAATGAGGGGCCCGGCCCTGCCTCCTCCACCCCCTCCCTAGTAAGAATCAACCCAGCTGGGGAGGCGGGGCAGGACTGGAAAAGGAGGAGGGCGAGAACGACCCCCGAGACTGCCACAGACCAGCCTGGGCCATCCCAAGTGCCCTCACCCCTGACATTCCTGCCCCCAGGGCTCCCCGACATCCCCATGGACCAGCACCTCCGGCCACGAACACTAAGCCATAAATGGCACCTCCCCGGAAACGTGCAGCCTCCTCTAGGGAGAGAAGCATTCTAGACCCTGGGCCGCATCTGTCTGCTCAGCCAGAGGGAACGGGGAAGCCGGCCTCTGTGAGCCGCAGGCCAGGGCGCGCCCTGCGTGAACAACCCGCCCGGGCCGGCTCCCCGCAGCACCCGCCACTCAAGTCCAGGGTTGCTGGCACTTCTCTCTTAGGGCAGGAGGCCAGACACACTGGCTCCCGGAGACATAAACGTGTCCTAAAGATCCATGGGTTCTGAATAAAAACACGCCTGTTGGGAAGCAGGCGCGGGGGGGCACCTCAGCCCGCACCAGCCCACAGGTGCCCCCCAGCTGCCTCTGGACACTCGTCCCTGACGGGTCCTCACACACATCAGAACAGGTACGAGTCAGAGCTGCCAGGAGCCAGAGCTGGGAAAGGCCATGCACTGCAGGAGGCCCACTGAGCACCGTGTGCAGTCGTGGGGGAAGTGAGGCTGTGTTCTGTGCACACAGACGGGAGGGCCCCAAGGTGTGTCGTCAGGTGACAAGAGCGAGGGACAGACGCAGTGGGGACCTGCTGCCACAGCTTAGTCGGGGGGCAGGTGAGACGCTGCGTCGACTGACTTGAGCACAGACATCTCTGTGGAAGCAGCGCAAGAAAGCCATGTGCTGGTCCCCTGCCGTGGGGGCGTGCTAGCTGCAGACAGGATGTGCAGGAAATGTCCTCCCCTCGCCCTTCGTGCTTTTGAATTTTCAGCCACGTGATGAATAAAGTTAAACAGGAGGGTGGTAAGGCTGCCAGATAAAATGTAGGATGCCAGTGAAAGCAGCACGAGACCCTCACACCAGCGTCTCTACCGTTAGTGTGAGACCCACATCCGAGGGCGCCTGCCGGGACTGGCAGCCCTGCCACTGGGGGCTGGGGGCTCTGCCTCAGGTGCTCGCCAGCTCTCTGAGCACCAGCTCCGCGCCGAGCACCGTTAGAGGCGCAAGCAGCGCAGCCTAGAAAAGGGGGACTCCCTCCCCCGAGCCTGCCCGCAAGGGGCCCACACTGAATAAGCAAAAAGGACAGAGCAGCAGGAGCATCTGGGACAGGCGAAGAGGGCTCTGGGCAGAGGGAGCAGCAGCAACAAGGGTCCTGCGGTGGGAAGGGCCTGGCAGCGGAGGAACACGAGGATGGCATGGGGCTGGGGAGAGGTGCACTCAGGAGGGAGGGAGGAGTGGGCGGGGCCGAGCTGCGGGGTGCAGGGAGAGGGGCTGGACTGCATTCCACCATGGGGGGAGCAGCCCTGAGGTACCCACGAGGACTGTCCCCAGATGCTAACTCAGCATCAACGGCCTGCGGAGGGGGTACCCAGGGAGACCTGGCCCTGAGGAGCAGCAGGACGAGGCCCAAAGGGTTGGGGGACCGCAGGAGACACTGTGGGCAGCTCGCAGGCTGGCTCTCGCTCCCGTGGAGACTGGCAGCCGGGCCAGCCCTGAGCATGGCAGAGGCCAGAGCGCGAGGGAGCTGGAAAGGGGCTGCCGGGCGGACGTTCTTGAGCCAGCCCCAAGGGTGATTCAGCAGAGCCGCAGACGAGCCGGCCCCCTGGGGCAGCAGGGACGGCCTGGACAGGCGTGGGACAGGCCGGGGGCAGGCCCCGGGCCCCCTGGTAGGGGCAGCCCAACAGCCTCCTCACCATGGGGTCCAGAGGAAAGGGGGTAGCTCAGAGGGTGGGGCATGGCCAGCCGGGCGACGCTGTGGGTCAGAACCCAGGACACCCAGGGCTCCTGCCAGCAGCCCCCGGGCCATTCCCTGCTTTCCTGGGTCTCATCCAAAGCATGTTTTTAAAACGTGTCTTTTGAAAATCCAGGAGATTAGTGACAACCTCATGAAAAATAAATTAATAGTGACTATTATTTCTAGAATGTTTACGACGAGCCCAGTTCGCAGTGAATGCTTCACTCAGATTAGCTTTTTCTCCTGTTAGGCAGGCAGTGTTGTGATTCCCATTTCACAGAAAAGAACACGGAGCCCAGAGAAGCTGCTACTTGGGGCCTGGAACATCCCAGGGACGGGAAGCTCACTCCTCCCCCGGGCAGGCCTCCTCCCACCTCTCCACAGCCTGGAAGAGAAAAACATTCTCCCTCCACGGGGGTCTTCTCCCAGGGGCTGGGCCCTGCTCCCCAGCAGTCTCGGCCCGCAGGGTTTCCTCAGGCAGCCCCACCCCCAGCCTGCTGCTTGAGCTCTCATACCCGGGGGTCGATGACCAGGTAGGTGCGAATGTTCATCTCTTTCAGGTAGGGGTCTCGCTGCTGCCCGTGCCCATCTTCCACCTCGTACGCCTTGTCCAGGTGGTTCAGCGTCGCCTCTGTGATGTGCACCCGGCTGGGGGAGACACAAGTCAGAGCAGCAGGGACCACAGAGGGCTCTCCAGGGTGCACAGCAGGCAGGGCAGAGTAGGCCATGGCCCCTCACTACAAGGTCACTGATTCCGTCTCTGATCCCCCCGAGATCCCCCAGTCCAGAGTTGGCCCCTGGTCTCTGACCCCACCATGTCCAGCTAAGCCTCACCCGGGGACTCCAGCCGCCTCCATCCGGTTGGCCAGGGACACGTCATGGGACCACACGTCGTACTGCCACTTGCGCAGCCCAATAACACCACACAGCACGTTTCCTGAATGTATACCCACACGCATGCTGATGTCCACGCCCGTGGCCTCCCGCACCTGCCTGAGGCAGAGCGCTCTGGTCAGCCCACCCCAGCCAGGGCTGCTGGGGGCCCTGCACGCTGGGACAAGCCCAGGTATGGGTGTGGCATGGGGCGGGGGCAGAGCAAGGGTTGTGGGGGAGTGTGGGAAGGGGCAGGCCCAGCTCATGGGAGGGAATGTTCTCAGCCTAACGGGACAGCCTCCTTGAAAGGGCGTGAGCACCCCACCTCTGGGAGTGTGCAAATGAATGTTGCTCCCCCAAGCTCAAAAGCTATTAAAAGGAAGAGGAATTCCAACCGTCACTGGTGCCTATGGCTCAGGTGGACGGCCCGAAAATATGATCACGGGGCGTTTCCACTGCCCAGGGGCCCCAGCCACTGCCCCAAACCCAGCGGAGACACAGAACATGGGGCCAGCCTTTGGGGACCTTCCCCACGCCCTAACTCTGGGAAATGAGAGCACCGGGGCTCGCTGGCACCACTCAGTACAAGGAGCCCCAAGTTAGAGCTTCCGCGGGACACAGGGCACCCCCAAACACGAGCACAGCTTCAGGATACCTCTGACAAGTGGGTGAGGGCCCAAGGAGCAGCTGGCACATGTGTCCACCAGCAGGGCCGAGGATGGACAGAGCCTGCAGGGCTCAAAGCCAGAGGAAGCAGGGGGGCCCTGAACAACCTCCACAGCTTCCAGGGGAGGAGACTGAGACCCGGCGGCAGGGGCCTGCCCGAGGTCACACAGGCGGTGATGCAGAGCCCTGCTAGGACCGGAGCCCCGATTCCCTGTCCAGTGTTTTCCCAGCAGCACCAGCCACTTCTGGTGGGACTTCAGGAGGAAGGACCAGCGGCGGCTGGGTTTACACCCGCGTGCTACACACCTTCAGGCAGCCCAGCCGCCGCGCCCTGCTCTGCCCCCAGCACTGGTCACTCTGGCCCAGCCCGCCTGGCCCTCCCATGCACCGGACCACCACAGCGGGGTCTTCCCACAGACCACGGCTGCTCGGGGCTCCCGAGAACCTCGGGGGCTGGATGTCGCTGGGAAGGCTCTGCAGGAGGCTGGTCCCCTGCCTCCAGGGTCTTCACAGGGGAAGCAGGAAGAAGTGGAGCCCTGCAGTCAGACCCTGAGTCTGCAAGGTCCTCCTGCCGTCTGTCCTGAACCCTTCCTGCCGCTGCTAACACTCAGTCTTTGGAGGCAGGGAGCCCAGCTGCCCCGCCCTCACGCCCTCCGGCTCTGAGCTCCTGACTCCGGGACTTGGAACCCCAGTGGGCCCAGAGGGAGGCGGCAGATGGCTGAGGGACCCACGCAAGCCACCGTCACTCCTGAGCCTGTTTCCTCATCTGCAAAATGGGGACAATGCATTCCCCACCATGCTTTGAGAGGAGGAGGGGTCCGTCGTGGGGACAGGCCCCAGCGCCCCAGGCCTGCCTGTGGCACCTACTTAATGGCCTCGCACATGTCGAGCCCCATCTTCACACAGTTCCGGGCATGGGTGGGCAGGGACACGGGCAGGCCCGACACGCAGTAGTAGCAGTCGCCCAGGATCTTGATCCGCATGCACTCATTGGCCTGCAGGGCAAGGGAGAGGCCCGGTCAGCAACAGGCCAGGGGGCCAGGGTTCACACATGCCAGCCACCACCCCACGCCCTCCATGGGGAGCCAGGCTCTCTGCCGGCCAGAGCTTCCTCTGGGGCACCAGGCACCAGTAGCTGCTTCTGGGCCTGGCAAAGCACTGGGGACACAGGCTCTCCAGGAGGAACCCCCAAACAAGCATCAGGGATAAAAGCAAGGGTGACTAAGGGGGCCACTTGACTGCTTCCAGGGGAGGTGCTGGCTTTGCTTCATTTGTTCATGCAATGTTTGGGTGTCTACTGAGTGCCCGGTCCCACCCCAGGCACTGGGGGACAGCCACAAGCACAATAGACACAAACCCCTGCAGCCATGCAGCTCCCACGCTGATGGCATGGCTGGACACTAAACTAGATAGATAAAATTTAGAGACACCCAATGGTGATAAATGCTAAGGAGAAAAATGAGGATGAGAGGGAGGAGAACATTCACAGGGGGACAGGGAAAGCCTCTTGGAGAGGGTGACATGTAAGCAAAGACCCAAATGAACCAAGGGAGCAAGCCATGGCAATATCTGGAGGAAAAGCATTCTAGACAGAAGGAAGCAGCACGTGCAAAGGCCCTGAGGCCAGAAGGCTGTTTGAGACACAGCAAAGCAGCCAGACTAACTGAAGTGGAGCAAGTAGGGGAGATGAGGACAGAGAGGTGGCAGGTGCCACAAGCTAAGGGGTCAGCAGGTATCAAGGCAACCCAAGATATAGATATGCTACTAGGGATGTGGGGTTTGGGGAGCAGGGAGAAGGCAGAGAGGAAAGATGGGGGTGGGGAGAGAGGCTGGGGTCACATAGGAAAACGCCCATGGAGGGGAAAGGGAGGCCCAGGCAGGCTGGCTGAGGTTTTATCTGAGGAGGCACCGCGGCCACCCGCCCTCCGTAGGCCCTGGGCAGAGGTGGCCACACACCGGAGCCTTGGCTGAGGCTTTCGCGCTCTGAAGGAGGAGCTGCGTGCAGGCTCGTCCCCTCTGAGGGGCAGCCTCAGGGCAGCCTTACCCCCTGGCATCCTTGGGGAGGGATGCACGCACGCCTGCTCGCTCCTACAGGGTCCTGAAGGGCTGGCCATCTCCCAGGACCAGGTGTCCTCTGTCTACGGATCTAGTGTCCACTCCATCCATGCCCATCAGGCCTGGGGGTGACCGCCCAGCCTCAGAGACCAGGCAGGGACTGTCTCTCCCGAGTCCCGGCACCTGCCCCGCCTTTGCGAGCAGCCTCCTTACTAAACCCTCCCCGACAGGCCCCACTGAGTGAGTGCCAGCTGCTCCCTGCTGGGCCCTGTCTGGCCCACGCTGAGAGGCCACGGGCACAGTGGCTGAAGCCTGGAGAGGCCCAAGGCCCAGGCCCAGGCTCAGGCCTCCGGCTGCCTTCTCTCCGCGCAACACTGCCTTCCCCAGGCTGCTCCTCCACGGGGCTGACAGGCACCTGTGCCTCCGACGCTTCCCAAATGGGCAAGTCTGTGAGTGTGCTGGGGGCAGAAGGCGCCCAAGCCAGACGCAACGCCGACGCCTCAGAGAGAGCAGGCCCTGGCTCTCGGGAGGGGTGAGGGTCCCAGAATCTGATTGCTGATGAGAGCAAAGGCGGGACCAGCCCTGCCCGTCTCGGCCCAGGGGCTGGACGCTCGGGCTGGAAGGCCGGCACCTGCCACGGCCTACCTCTTCCTTTCTGCACAATGGGGCTGCCTCCCGGGCCTGCCACAGAGGGCAGGCTGCGTCCAAGAGGGCAAGGGCAGGTCCTTGGGCTTTGTGGCAAGGAAAGGGCCAGCTGTGGCCTGAGACCCAGGCCCCCTGCCCTACATAATGGCCCAACCTCTGGGGACTCCCACCTGCCGGTCCAGGAGAAGTCGTGAAGGAAGGAAGCTCCTGAAGGAAGGCTCCAGGCTAGGCAGGCCCTCCTAGTTACTCGGCCCGCAATACGCAGGGCCCAGCAGTTCTCCACAACGCCCCTGGCCTACTGTAGCTGGTTACCCCCTGTGACGGGAAGCTCACCCCCTGAGATGGAGTCCACTCCTGGTGAGGCAACCCCCCAGGACTGAGCGGCTCTGACCGTGAAAAGCTCTTCCTAGGCTGGGGCCAGAACCTGCCTCCCTCCACGTCCTAGACCACCGATCCTGCGCACAGGGAGACCCGGTTCGCTCTTACAGACTCAGGGGTGTGGCAGGGCGACTGGCGTTTGACTTAAAAACCTGATTCAAATACACAGCCAGGATAGAGGGCCACTGCCTCACACCTGCACTCGGGTCTCTCCTTAGTGGCTACCACTTCAGGAAGCCTGTCTTGACCCCTTGGGGCGGGGTTAGGTGTTCCCCAGCCCCCCACCCCCACAGCCCTCTTCAATGCACGTGGCATGTAGGCCGGGAGCAAGGCGAGGGCAGGGCCACCGCCCAGCAGGTCTCAGGACCCTTTGGCAAATGAACACACCCACACACACAGACACACACAGATGCACACACACATACACAGACACACACACCCACCCCCGCCCCGAGCTGGCTGCTGCTCCCAGACTCCCAGTGAGGCCCCAGCCCAGCCCTCCCGCTCTCCGGCCTCTCTCCCCTCGGCTGTACCCTAGACCCTCCTTTCCCACTGCCCTCCCTGCTTGGTACCCATCACGCTTCCCAGGGTCCTCAGGCCTCCTCGCCTCAGCCCTCAAGTCCTGTCGCAGCTGACCTTGTGACCCTGTCCTCTCAGCTCTGTTCCATTCACACTGAGCCATGTTCACTCCATGGGTACATGGAACTTCTTTCCACTCCAGGCTTTTGCACATGCTGTTCCCTCTGCCTAGAGCACTGTTCTCTTTCCAGGTTTCTCAAACTTTAATGTCCACACGATTCACCCGGGATCTTGCCGAAAGGCAGACTCTGGGGGAGGCCTGGCATTCCACAGTCCTCCCAAGCTGCCAGGTAAGGCCAAGGCCATGGCCTTGTGCAGGAAGGATGGAGCCTCCTCCCCCAGGCAGCCTTCCAGAGCCCTGTGTACCCCTGGTGAACACTGTCAGTCTCCCCACCAGCCTCACACGCTGGGACAGGATTCTAGCTGCCTCGGCCACTGCTTGGCCACCACTTCACCCTGGGGCACTCAGAGAGTTTGCTGACTGAATGCTAAAATTCAGCCGAGGTGCTGGGCATAGGACACCACTGGGATGCAATGACAGGGGCTCCTGACTTTACCAACAGCAGAGGGGAGGGGCGGCGCGGGCGGCGCGGGCGGCCGGCTCACCTTGGCGATCTGGTCGAACTTGCCGAAGAGCTCGTTCAGCACCACCACCAGCTCCTTAGGGGAACAGTCGCTGGCCAGCTGCGTGAAGCCCACGATGTCAGCGTAGAGGATGCTGGGGGGCACCGAGAGGTCAGAGCCAGGCCCCTGAGAGGCGGGGCTGCAGGAGCACAGGGACTGTCCACCTGGAGCCCCCGAGCGCCCGCCAGCCCTTACCCCACCACCCCTGCTCCTCCTCAGCCTCCACAGGGACGGGAGGGCCGTTCCCAGCCATAAAGACGAATTCAAGATGCAGAGCCTTCACACTAAAGCAAAACAGAGCCAACTGCAGAGCCCGCAGCGGCCCTGCAAACCCACCCAGCGCCCATCACCGCGGAGGCCGCCCGGGCCGTCACAGGTGGAGCGCACCTGCACCTCAGACTCCCTGCTCCTTTCCTGCATCCAGGTTCCCACCTTAGCACAGACTTCAGAACTACCCCCTGGGAAGATGCGACGCGACGCTCCCTGAGCCAAGCTCCGTGCCCAGCACGTCCCGTCCTCACACTGCCCTTGCAAGAGCCCGTTCTCCAGACGAGCACACTGAGGCTCAGGGAGCTGGAGACTTGCTGGGAAGTCAGAGCAGCAACTTGCACCAGATCTCCCAGCTCCAGACTCCGGGAGTTCGGGACCGTCCGCAGCCCGGACAGGAGGCAGCAGGCCAGCATCTGTCACAGCGCTGAGCCTGGGGCGGAGGCTCGGGGCGGGGCTGCAGTTCACTTGGGCTGCACGTTCACGTAAGATGCTGTAGCCCCTTGGAAGCAGCCAAAGACAGGCGTCAGGACTCGGGGGCTCTGGCAGTCACCAAGCCCTGGGGGGCTTCCCCTCCTTTTGGGGGGCCTGTGTCCTTTTGAGCAACATTTGAAAGGACCCCTTTCTTTCCAACAGTCATGTTTGTGCACAGAGTTTAGCAATTTTAGAGGGCTACTGGACCTCCCCCAACACCAATCTGATCTGAACCCACCCCCTGTGCAAACAAAGGGGAGCCTGAGGCCCAGGGCTGGGCCTGGATTTACCTCCCCCATCTCTGTGTGGTTGGGGTCTGGGCCTCTAGACAGGAGGGCAGGGAGGCCGCCTGCCCAGGGCCCCGGAGACGCCGTGCACAGGCCCGCCAGTCACCTACCTGACGTTCTGGTGCCGCTTCACGTAGAGGCTGTGGAAGTTGTTGTCCGGCACACAGCGGCGGTCCCCCCGCTCCTTGAGCTTCTCGATGATGGCCAGCTTCATGCCCATGGAGATGTGCGCCGGCAGCACTGACAGCAGCAAGTTCTCCTGGGCAGCGCGGGGCAGGCAGCGCAGAGTCAGGCCCCAGGCCTGACCCACCCGGCCCTGTCTTCTCCACCCTCCTGCCTGCTCCGCCCGCAGCACCCTCCATCTCTGCTGGCCGATGCCCTGCCACCAGCCCAGCCAGGCCCACACGCTCCGTGTCCCCAGCACCCCCGGGTGAGGCCTGCATGAGAGTCTAGCCCTGCACCCTACGCACACGCTGCTCAACAAGCAACTGACGTCCAGGGAGAAAGGACACAGGGCATGGGGCCTGGGAGATAGCCAGGGAGGGCTGGGCAGGGGCCGGGCTGTGGCTCTCGCGGGAGGCAGGGTGCCCACCTGCTGGCGCTTCTCAATGCGCAGCTTACGCCTGATCTGGATGCACTTCACAGTGTAGGTGAAGAGGTCACGGGAGGCGTCCTGCATCTGGTGCTTATGGAAGGCGCCCGTGAGGTTCACGCACAGGAAGACAACGGCAACAGCCAGCAGCTGAGGGTGGACCGAGGGCAGACTCAGCATTCCACCAGCCCAAGGTCCCGAGGCAGCAGCCCCCTTGGTGGGCTGGTGATGGCAGCCCTGCCCCATTCTCTGACCTCCAGCCCATTCAGGCTGGCACCCTTCCTGAGGCAGGCAAGGAAACAGGCCCAGACAGGGCTGGTCTCCCGGTGAGTCGCTGTCACTACAGGACAGGTCTCACGCCCTTCTTGGCACCTGCTGGGCATTGCCCAGTCCAGGAGGGTTTGGGCCCAGAGGACAGGGAAGCTGGTCACTTCTGGGGAGGCAGGAGCGTGTCACCCTGCAGAGCCCAGAGCCCGAGGGGAGTGCCAAGCACAGTCACAGAAGGCGCAGCACCCTGCTGGCTGCCAGGGCTCCAGCCTCCACCTCCTGAAGGGGACACCAGGCCCGGGCAGGAGGACAACACATCTCTAAGTCACCATGACTTATAAATGAGTTTCACTCACTCAACACAAAGACACAAGAGAGGGTGCCCAGGCATACCCCCCACCCCTGTCAGGATAGGGCTCTGCAGACGAGACCTCAGGACAGGCCTTCACCCCACAACCACACGCTGGGCGGGGAAGGAGGCCGAGGTCAGGGCTCCAGCAAGGGGCTGAGCCTCCGGGGTTCACAGGCCAGCAGAGGAAAGGCCTCAAGGCAGGGCACCTCCCTGGGGTCGCTTCCCAGCGGACTCAGAGGAAGCCTGGTCTGAGGCCATCCAAGGCCTCTGGGACCAACTCAACCACAGCCCGGCCCAGAGTAGCCTGGGCCTACCCCCGCACCGGCAGCCTCCCGCCCCTCATCTGCAGCCCCCCGCTCCTTACCTGCAGCCCCAGGCCCAGAGCCCCCCGTCTCTCACCTGCAGCCCCCTGCACCTCACCTACAGCCCCACGCCCTTCACCTACAGCCCCACACCCCTCACCTGCAGCCCCACGCCCCTCACTGCAGCCCCGACCCCTCACCTGCAGCCCCACGCCCCTCACTGCAGGCCCTGACCCTTCACCTGCAGCCCCACGCCCCTCACTGCAGGCCCTGACCCTTCACCTGCAGCCCCACGCCCCTCACTGCAGCCCCGACCCCTCACCTGCAGCCCCACGCCCCTCACTGCAGGCCCTGACCCTTCACCTGCAGCCCCACGCCCCTCACTGTAGCCCCGACCCCTCACCTGCAGCCTCACGCCCCTCACTGCAGGCCCTGACCCTTCACCTGCAGCCCCACGCCCCTCACTGCAGCCCCGACCCCTCACCTGCAGCTGTACCCCCCTCACTAGAGCCCCTGACCACTCACCTGCAGCCCCACGCCCCTCACTGCAGCCCCTGACCCCTCGCCTGCAGCCCCACGCCCCTCACTGCAGCCCCTGACCCCTCACCTGCAGCCCCACGCTGACGCTGGGCTTTGTGAAGATCTCCATGACAGTGCCAAGCACCAGGAGGTGGGAGGTGCTGGAGATGACCCCCACCATTATGGCCCCCTGCATGCTGAAGGGCAGCAGTGTGTACACCACGAAGACAACGAACAGGAAGAAGGGCACCTAGGGACAGGCAGTCATGAGTCTGGGGCCCGGGACACGGCCTGAGCCTGAGGTGACATCAGGCCCCCGAAGCCTCTTGTCTTCTGGGGACAGCCCCAGAAACCTGAATCCTGAGCCCTCTGTCCTCAGGTCGGCCCCTTGCCCCTCCCCTGCATGGTGAGAGCCAGCAATAGACACACACTGGAACATCCGCTTCTGGGTCGGGCCCAGCATTACTATTATTCATCGTCTCCTAAGAGCTGATTTACGATCTGGGGCCAAGGCAGAGCCTCCCCAGGAGCAAGGCTCCATGGCCCCGTGGCCCAGGGAGTTCCAGCTTGGTGCCTGTGGCCCTGTGGCTCTCCCTCCACAGGAACAGAAATTATGGGAAGGCTGGGCAGGGCCCCCTCACCTGCCACCCAGCAGCACAGCCCCACCCGGCCTGTCCACTCCGCAAGCTGACCACTGCCATCCAACCTGTCCTGCATGCACCCCTTCTAGGAACAGCCCCCTCCCCTGAGATTTCAGTCTGCATAGCTCCTATGAGCCTCACCCTACCCCAGACTCAGGAGCATCAGATGACCAGTCCCACCGGTCAGAGGGTACCACCCCGTGGCCATAGTGAACCTCAAGCTGGTTGAGAAGGACTCTCTCTTTCACCTAGGAGTAAGCTGGTGGGCTGGCAGCCTAGAGCCGCTGTGGCCATCTCTGCCCCAACATGGGGATGGCCTGCTCGGAAATGAAACAACACAGAGGAAAGCAGAGCTGAGAGAAAGCAGGACCTGGCCATCCTGCTGGAGGCCCCCGGCTGGAAAGGGCCCAAGGCCAGCACACGAAATGCAGGCCCATTCTCCAGAAGGGACCCGATGCCCAGAAAGGGCGAGAGTTGCCAGGTGCACAGCTGGCTGGAGGCATCCAGCTGCCAGGGTCGCGGGGGTCCCCTGCCCTCTTACCTGCTGCCACGCACAGGCCGCCTTCCTCCACGAGTCAAACACCAGCACGTAGCCCAGCGTCACAAGGCAGGCCCAGATGAGCAGTGCTGAGGCCCTGAGCCACCGCCGGACGAGGCACTCGACATACACCAGCACATAGAGAGCCACAAACACGGCGAGCATTAAGAATACTGTCCCCAGGACAGCCGGGTTTCTGGAGGGGTCCTGGGTGGGGCAAACACACAGAAATGCCACAGCCTTCCCAGCAAGGAGCTGCTTTCTCCAGAAAGCCTGCCAGGTTAGCCTGCCCAGCCAGCCCTGAGCAGTGTCACCTGTGGCTTCCTCCACGAGAGCAGTGTCTACGCTCCCTCTAAACACCAGGTTCTCTGGTGCTTAGCATCTGGTGTTCAGACCACCAAACACCTTCAGGATTTGTGCTGTTGTCTCTGCCAGGACTGCCTACATGGCCGCCTTTCCCTAGTCACCTGCGGAGCCCTCAGCATCCTTCACAGCCCAGCCGCGCTACTCTCCCTCCCCACCCCTGCCCTGGGTTCCCAGGGCCTTCTGTGCACACCTGCAGGGGACAAGCACAAGAGGACGGGAGAAAAGGCCTGGAAAGCCTCCCGGAGAGGCCACTGCTCCTGACTCTTAAAGAATGAATGGAGGTTTCCGAGGAAATGATGAGTAAGGGCGTCCCAGATAGGGGAAGAGCTGGAGAAAAGGTGCACAGGTGACACCAGGGGCTTGCAGGAAGGACCATTTGCAGATGCAACAGCATCTGGTTTCCCCCGGGGGTCCCTAAGACCCATGACCAGAGGCTGACCTGGGAGCCACATATAGTAAGTACCCCATAACTATTTGCTGAATGCCAAAACAAATGTCCTGTGGTTTGCAGCCACAGAGACATGGGCAGCACTGACAGCACCTACTGGGTGCAGCCACTTTACACATAGCACCCTGTCAGCAGTCTGTAGTCTCTGCCGTTTTCTTCCAGAACTCTGCTGTTCCATACAGTAGCCACTAGCTGCATGTGGCTATTCAAAATTAAACTCACATTAATTAAAAATAAAATTAAAAATTCAGTTCCTCAGTCACACTAGCCACATTCAAAGTGCTCGACAGCTGCACACAGGGAGCGGCTGTCGCAAGGCGAGGCCTAAGTCAGGGACGACGTTAGCGTGTCTGCTGGACAGCCGTGTAGGGCAGGGTTCTGAGGCCACAGCCAGGCTCTGTGGGAAGGGGTGCTGGGATGGATTCATGTCAGCCCCGGTGCCGGAAGTGGAAGCAGTGGTACACAGGCCATCCCTGACCTGGGTCTTTGACAGAATCGAAGCTCATTGTGGAAAAAAGCAAGGGTAATTCATCTGGTCAAATTAATGTAATATGTGAAACCACCCTAGACTTCAAGATTAAAAAACCTGTCTCCCACCAGCCCAAATATGCTCCATAGCACTTTACAGATGCAGCCCCGGCACAGAGAAGATAGTGACGCGCCCAAGGGCTCGCAAGTACAGAGCGTCAGAGCCGAGATCTCACCCCAGGGAGGCCCCCACTGCCATGGGTGCCCTCACTCACCCCCTGGCTGAAGGTGATGACGATGAGTGCAACGCAGGCGGCGATGGCCACCAGCAGGAGCGTGAGCAGCAGCGGCCCGTGCTGGCTGGTGAGGCGGTACTTCTCGTAGAGTGCGTGTTCGTCCGGGTCCTCCTCGCCCTCGTTGAGGAAGTAGCGCCCCTTGGCCGGCATCCTCCTCCCTTGGCACCCCGCCCGGCAGCCCACTCAGGAGACTCCACAGCCCGGGGAGCATCTGTCTGCCGACACCCTCCCGGTGGCCTAGGCCTCTGGCCTCTCACAGCCTGGCCGGTGGGCGTGGGGAGGGGCGCCCGGGGCCTGCAGCTCCATGGGCAATGCTGGGTCTGTACCGCTGCAGCCACCAGGCCTTGCTCAGTGCGCCACCCGCATCCTCCTCTGCGTCCTGGCCAGGCTGGCCAGGTCCTCAGCTCTGCAGAGACACACAGCAGAGCCAGATGTGAGTGGACAGGCCGGTCGGGGAAGGACCCGCGTCAGGGGAGAGCGGGGCCAGAATTCACAGAACCTGGGGTCTGATTCACTCAACCTGAACCTCACTTCCGGGTGCTGTTGAAGGCTCTGCCCACTCCACGGCCATAAAGCTGGACCCCAGTGTTTCCGAGAACTGCCCTGTGCCACACGTGGCTATTTAAAATGAAACTTAAGTTGATTAAAAATGAGATTAAAAATTCAGTCCCTCAGTGACACCAGACATATTTCACGTGCTCCACGGCCACATGGGGCAGGTGCTATTATATTGGGCAGCACAGATACAGAGCACTTCTGTCATGCAGAAACTTCTACTGACAGTGCTCCTCTAGAGCTGGGACTGCTTCACTGTCGCGTGTGTGTCTGATCCATCGCAGGGACCCCGCATGCACGGTGTGAGGCAGGGATCAAGGTTCATTTCTTTTTTTCGAGTGGATGTTGCACTATTCCGGCAGCATTTAGTGAAGCCACCATCCCTCCCCCAGAATTTCAGGGGCCCCACCTTTGTCATGAGTCAGGTGACTGTGCCTGTGAGGTCCATTTGCAGGCTTTCTCCTGTCCCAGTGGTCCTTGTACAGAGAGCACTCACTCAACTACTGGGGCTGCTGGTGAGGCTGCGTCTCAGACCCCTACACCTGTCTCACCCAGAGCATCCCCCTTGCACTCATGTTATAATAAGCTTCCACATAAGACTGCATTTTTTAAAAAGGGCCCACTGACAGGAATTTAAGGAGTCTGCAAGCCTCGTTCATAGAACAGGAAGCTGAACCTCAGAGGGAACACAGTGGATCCTTTATGACAAAGCTCGGAGCAGACCCCAGGCTTGCGACACTCAGCCCAGATGGGCCCCCTCTTTTCCCAGCACCATTCATTCATTTGCTCATTCATTTATTCCAAAAAGGCGTGTCAATCATGCCAATGGCACAGCAGGCCCACTACACTTCCTGTGTGGCAGCCTGGCTCTCTCCCTGGGGCTCCCAGTCCTCAAAGAGAGAAAGTCACCAAACAGTGTGCAATCCCTAGATGCAGCAGCTGGGGCTTGGGGGCAGCTGCCATATTCCCAGCAGGAACCCTGTGTCAAGGGGGCAGCCCTGGACTGGAGTCCAGGCCCCTGATGTCCTCCAGGCCTGCCTCAGGGATTGGAACCAGGACAGGGCAGATGGCAGAGGGCAGGGAGGCTGGAAGACGGAAAGGCTCGGGGCAGAAATGGCACAAATGGCTCCCGGCAGAAGCTGCGAGAGAAAGGCGGTCCAGAGCCTCCAAAGGCAGAAGAGCAGGGTATCCAGAGTCCCAGAGTCCGAGTGAAGCCCCCTTGAGTACCCCCTGCCATGAGGACCCTGCGGCCACTGTGGCTCCAGGAGCCACCTAAGGCACTACTGCCCTGGGAACAAAAGGGGAAACCACATATTTGAGGGTGGAGAGAAGGCTCCTCTTTGCCAGAGCTCCTGGCTCCCTCTGCTCCCCCCAGGCCCAGGCAGGTGTCCACAAGCCTTGGCACCTGCTTAACCTGGGCCACCCTGGGGGGGTGGGGCCCAGGGCTGCCAAAGGGCCTGAAGTGCTGAGAGAAGCTGCAAATCTGATTCTACAGGAAATATTCCTTTTTAAATGTTGGCAACTAATTTTAAAAATGTGAGTGGTGCAGCCAACTCGTTTGAATCTTTAAATCTAAACTAACCAGACTTTATTCCCCAAGAGGCATTTTTTGAGTAGTAACCATACATGACCAGCCCTGTAGGGTCTGCAAAACAAGACGAAGCCCCTGCCCTGAGAAGCCCCCAGTCCAGGGCGCCCCTAAAGCAGCAGTGTGCAGTCACGACAGACGCCTGCACACACATCGCCACTCTCACCTTCACAACCTGCTAAGGCCAAGGTGTTATGGCCATTTTATAGATGTGGAACTGAGCCCAGAGAGGTAGAGTGGCTTGCCTAAGATCACACAGCTGGGGCTGGTTGGTAGAAGGGCTGGGACTCAAACCGGGGTCAGCCAGCTCCCACAGCAGGACTCCACTGAGCTCCTTCCAGCAGCAGCAGCTCCTGGTGAATGAAACAGTTGCCACAAGCATATGACACTGCCTGTCCCTCTGGCCTGGTGCACCAGGAGTGCCAGGGTGAGAAACCCTGAACACCAAGGGGCCGGAGCAACTCCCGGCAGCCACTCTATGCCCCAGACCAGAGCTGTGAGCAGCCAGAACACGCAGACGTGCACATGCACGCACACACGTGCCCCACGATGCCGTGCACCCCAGACGCCAGCCTGCCCTCCCAGGTGTGAGAAGCTGGGCTGAGCCAGGCCTGGGAGAGAGGGGCCTTGTGAAAGGTTCCCGGGGGCCTGTGGGGACCCCGGCTCAGTAAATACTCCTCTTGGGGATCTAAATAGCCACTTCCTGGGCAACGACAGGCCGGAGAGGAGGCAGACAATGGTCAGCACTGGGCATGGGGACTTGGGCCCATCCAGGGACCTCAACCAGCTCTTGGGCCAAGTGAGCAGTGCGAGGCAGGGCTGGGGCTGGGAGAGGCTGCACCGACCACTCCTGAGAGATAGCCCGAGAACCCACCAGGCATCTCCACAGGCCAGCTCCTTTCTAGGAGCCACCCCCAAATCCAGATCCAGATGCCCCCTCTGCCCAAGAAGGCTCCAAGGCCCCTCTCTCCCATCACCAGCTCTCTTGCCATCACTGACTCAGCTGGGACCGGAGGGCCCCTCTGAGGCCCTGATGAAGGAACTCCATCCTTGTTGCCATGTCACCAGCAAATGACTGTGCAGCCCCAGCTTGTACACCCCGGTGACAGGGAGCTCAGCACCTTTCAAGGCAGTGTTCTCCATCCCTGAGCACTCCTGCCTGTAAGTCCTACCTCCCCTCAAGCTAAGCCCTGTCTCCCCATCCCTCCCCCACCCTAACCTGTTGGTCCTGTCTGAACCCAAAGACACCGAGAGCAGAGACACGAACTCAGGAGCCTCCAGGCCCCTTTCCTGGAGCTCCAGGGTCCCTCACTGTCATTCACACCTCACTAGCACTCTGGCTGGGGACCGGGGGAGTGGGACCCCAAGGGTCCAGCTGGGGAGAGGGTGTTTCCTGCTCTCTCAGGCCCCTGGTTCAGGAGCCACATGACCCAGGTCTGGCTAATCAGCATAGTCTCTCACAAGCCCCAGGTACCAGTTTAAGGACGAACATGTAACCAAAATCGTCTCTTTGGGACGTTTGCTGACCCATGGGAAAGAGATGCTCTCTTTTGCTGGTGGCCTGGAGCTGCTGGCGGCCACCTGAGCCACCACTAGGAGACAGCCCACCTGAGAATGAAGCTAACACAGAGAACTGGAGGGAGACAGAGACCCAAAACTATCCCCCGCCCCGGGCCCCTAGATCCAGCTCTGCCTGAAGCTCAAGCAACCTCCATATATCATAACTGCATGGGACAATCAATGCCCCTTTTAACTGAAGCCAGTCTGAGTTTCTATCACTTGCAACCAGAGTCCCAAGGTCCATGTTGAGCCTCCTGCCCCAGTGTGCTGCGGCCAGGAAGCCCTCATGGCCGCTTGATGCATCCAGAGTCAGGAGAGAGGGCCCCACTTAGCTCAGAGGTGAACGGGGCCCCTGCAGACACAGCCCATCCTGGAGACTTCCTCTGGAAGGGGGCGTGGTCAGGAGGGAACCCCCATAGCTCTGCCCGGAGTCCACGGCCCGGGCCCAGCCAGGCTGCAGAGGACCTGGGGCAGCAGGGCTGCAGGAGGCTGGGTGGGGGCTCATCACATCCTCTCCAGTCGCTTCCGGAGACTCCTCCCCTGCAGGAGGAATTAGGGGCCCAGGGCATACGTAGGTGGAAATGGACACCAGGGGTACCGCCTCCTCCCTGAAAAGACGGGCGCTGAGCTCCCTGTAGCCTGTGCTAGAGCAGGGTGGACAAAACAAAACCTACTGAGCACTTACTGTGCACCCAGCACTCTGGTCTCTTTAAATCCACATACCTTAGTATGACCACGGACTCCATTTTATGGATGTGGGAACTGAGAAACAGAGAGGTTCAGTCATTTGCCTGAGGTCACACAGCTAGTAAAAGAGAGCTGGGATTTGAACACAGGCCATCTGAGGTCCACCTCTTGTCCTGACCATCCTCATAGTGTTGACATCCACAGAGCCCATAACATCTCCAAATGCCAACCCCTTCCTGCCCCCGCCATCAAGGCCCAGGACAGAGGGTGGGGGCAAAGTAGACCCCATCAAGGACCTCCCTCTGCCTTGTAGGGCAAGGTCAGGGAGCCCTCTCTCAGCCAGCAAGATCCAGAAGGGCCTCTTCCTCCAGGAAGCCCTCTGAGCTACCCCTGTACACCCTCTTCTCCCTTCCCTGCAACCGAGGCAGGACTGTGGCCTCCTCGCCAAATACCGTCTGGCAGGTCCAGCTTCTCAACCAGAAGAGCTGCTGGAAACCAGGGGCTGGGGCCTCAAATTATGACTGCAGGGCTGGGCGTTTGGGGCTGCTGAGGAAATCCTTCCCCAGCGGAACTGGCTGAGCCGGCAGCACCCTCAGCCCTGCCGCACCCCCCGGGGAGTTACAGACCACCCCCAGCTTTCACAGACACGCCGAGGCACCCACTTCCTCCCCGAGCGGGGCTGGCAGGCACCCCAGCCTGGCTTCCTCTGGCCCAGCACTTGCAGGCCCCAGGGCTGCAGGGGGCCAAGGCCTCAGAAAGGGGAAGTGGGGGCCCCGGGGCGGGCAGGCCTGCCGGGAGGGGAAGGCCAGCTGTGCCCAGCCCGGGACCACACTGCTGCCGCCAGCCCTGCCAGCCCTATCTCCCCTGGGGGGCCGGCCTGCGGCTCCCCCAGGCCAGGGCAGAGGCGGTCCTCGTCTGCGGAGCAACCTTGCAGCAGTGCCATCCCCTCAGCAGCCACGGGGCTTCGAGAAGGACAACCAGTGGCTGCCTGGCCCAGCACGAGCCTGGCCCAAAGA